GCATAGAAAATACACTAATAGGTGATCTTGTCTGTTTTGTGTTGTTCTCTTTCCCTTTAAACTCACCCTACTGCAACTTATATGCAGCTAAATAAAAACTCAAAACCCACAAAAAACATTTATAGAACAATTCCTAAAGAAATGCTCAAACTAGAAACATACTGCAGGTAAGGTCAGAATGTTTGCTGGGTATCAGTACAGTTCCTTCTCCATCCAGACGCAGGCCATGATGATACTGTACCGCCGCTCTCTGACTTCTTGAAAAGCCATTGTAAAGTGTTACCATTTATTGGATATAAATGCTCTTTTATAATTTATGCCATTTTAAAGAGATCTTATAAACATCTTCTTGTAAGGCCAGTCATAAATTATGAGAAGACAATATTTATAATGATGTACGACAGGGGTGTCCAATCCTGCTCCTGGAAGGCCACTGTCCTGTAGAGTTTAGCGCCAACCCCAATTAAACACACCTGAACCAACTAATCAAAGGTCTTACTAGCATACTAGAAACTTCCAGGCCGGTGTGCTGAGGCACGTTGGAGCTAAACTCTACAAGACAGTGGCCCTCCAGGACCGAGTTTGACATGTAGGATGACAACAAGATTTATCCTGTTGTTTACTTTTGATAAAGCTCTTACAGATCCCTCTTTGCTTGTCTGTCTCCCTTCTATATTTATCCATCCTCAGTTTCCTCCCTTTTCTTTGCTCCTACACAGTGCGTCTCCTCCACCCAGTGTCTGGTTTCATATAACCCTCTCCTTGTTCTGGCCTCCCCCTGTTAACACTCATCTATCATAATGAAATATTCTTCTCTTCTAAATGCAGTCTTTGTAACACATCATAATTACAACTGTCACAATGACCCCCATTGGCTGAACGCTGAGAGTAAAAAGAGTAGGGAAAGATAATGTCAAAGATGAAGTCGATGAGCCTAAATCATTCTTTTAATCAACATTTAAAATGCATATATTTGAGCATAAACTTAATTTCACAATGTTATTGAGGTAGAACTGGCTGCAGTGCTCTTATAACAAAGAGAGCATGCAAACATTACAAACAATACAGCTGCAGGCAATTGTAAAATATTACATGAGTGTAATATCTGTTTATATCTTGCCATGAATTTATACAATACGTCTATCTAAAGTAAGAGAGCTTGAAATAATGTTGTAAAAATCAAACTGTCATGGAGTCAAAAGTACAGTCTCTAATTACTTTGTATTTATTGCTGGATTCAGTTCCTTCTGAGAAGTTCCTACTTATGTTTTCAGAAGTTGTAATTATGATGTAATGTGTCCAAGTGAATTTGGTAAGGGAACAAAGTATAAATGGGGCAATGTCATAAACAGGAAGTTGTATTAGATGTAACGTGACAAAATGAAAAGCAAAGGATACAAATTAGGTAAGTAAGTGATGCTGTATCTATGCATTTGATAATTCTTGAGCTGCTACATGAATCAAGGGAAATTAAGTTTTGGCTCACAAATCTGCTGTCTGATGAACACATTTTAAGGCTATTCTCAATACATACTATTTACACAGTAAACTTTCATAATCAAAACTTAATTGTGACCAATACCCAATTAGTTTCCAGAATTATTTTTAATTTACGCCCCAAATTTTCCATACTGATAATTACAACATTGTGGTGGTGTTCATGTGTTCTCCATTCATAAACGCGATGATTTCTGACATGCATCGAAGGTAGCATATGATTAATTCACCATTACTTGTGCCAACAGCAATAGGTGAATTTCAGTTTCACATATCTGTAGATAGATATAAAAGATAAGAAACTGAAAGATGGGACTTCAAAGAAATTAGATCAGCAGGGACATTGTGTGAGCAGGGAGTTGTGTACCACAGTGGTCTACATCCAGCTGGTCTTACCGAACTGTGCCAGATGTGTTTCTCAGGACAGAGGCAGCAAAACTTTGAGTTACACCAACCAGGCTTGTTCCATCCACCTCCACTATCAAATCATTCACCTGGATCCTGAAAGAGAAAAAAGTGGGCAGTGTAAACAGTGTGAAATGATTTTCGGTATTTAAAGGGATAGTTCACCCAAAAATTCTGTCATTAATTAGTCACCCTCATGTTGTGCCAAACCCATATTTTAACAATGTCCTTACTACCTTTCTGGGCCTTGAACGCAGTAGTTCCGTTGCTGTCTATGCAGGGTCAAAAAGCTCTCGGATTTCATCAAAAATATCTTAATTTGTGTTCTGAAGATAAACGAAGGTCTTACGGGTTTGGAACGACATAAGGGTGAGTAATTAATGACAGAATTTTTGGGTGAACTATCCCTTTAAGTTGAGATATTAACTATGATGCTGTGGAATATGCATAACGTCTACCTGCCATCCCGATGGGCCGCCCCTCCATCTGTGACGGTCTTGACGAAAATGCCAAGCTTTTCCAGACCCATGTCAGCTCCAGCACCCATCCCAATAATACTGATACCCAAACCCTCATTGTCTGTTGATGGACAACAAAAAATAGAGAATTCAATACTATTTTAGTATTTTCTGTTCAATTTCTGTTCCTTTTACCTGGGAATTAGAATGACCAACTATTTCAAGTGTGAAAAGCCACAAAAAGTGTTACATTTGCACAGACTATTCACACTACTTGCGATAAAATGTTTCAGAAAAGTACTGTGAAATACACCTTCATTTCCTCTTTGACATTCTCTATGTTGAGTGTTACTCTTTGAATACCCTTCTTTCACTGTCCTATAGTCTTTCGTTTAATGAGAAAAACTATTTTATTTGCTGTGAATAGTTGTAGCTAAAGGGTGTTGTTAATCTCAATATGCATTGAAGTAAATTCATGATACAGCAAGGTTTGAGCGTCTTACTGTTTTTATAAAACTTTTTTATTACTACTACAACACTGCATAAAATATTGAGATTACGTTTTGATTGAAGCACATTTATTAAGACACTGTCTCTACCATGTAAATGTTAACATTAACATTCATTCAATACTTAGAGTCCTTGCAGCTACATAATCACCTTCATCAATTTAACAGTCTTTAAACAAAGAAATAACCAACCATGCAGTGAATATGTCCACCTGGTGTTTTATGACTCAGAGGGTGAGTTCTATAGAAGTGAGCTTCACTATGGCCTATTCACTCCAAAGCGCAAAGCACTTAAAATTAGTAGTGCAGGGTACTACTGTCTCAAGCATGTGTGTTTGGAACACCCTACATCTATACAATCTATACATTGCTACTTTTTTTATTTTGAATTGGAATGTTGCATATGCTTTAAATTAACCTTCTAGTATCATGTGTTTATTAATGCCACAATTACTTCCTTAAAGTGACCACTGTATGTACACTTTGCTAACAGCCTTGTGGATAGGAAGTTTGTGAAGAGATTCAGTAGCTTACTTTCATTTAAAAAATGACCCTACACGTACTGTTTTCTTCATGCAGTATCATTTAGGTGTGCAAAATTAAATCTGAAACATGACCTATATATATATATATATATATATATATATATATATATATAATGTCAAAGCACCTTCAAGTTAGCAAAGCAATTCATTAGGCTACCCATAAGTGCTAACAAGCATGTTTTTCTCTATTTCGGAGCAACATTATACTTTCCTGAAATCTAAAGCTCCAAATTTTATAAACAAGAATTTGCAAATCCACAACAGCTCTTTTTAGTAATTTTCTGGCAGGTAATTCTTCCAGCACATTGACTGGATTCAAATACAGGTATCTTTCTGTTCACTGACATTTTAATTGGTGCATGCCATTTGATTGTAAACATATCTTTATCTACACACTGATGCACTGACTATGGAATTAAAGTGTCCCTCTATTGAAAGCAAAGTTGTGTGGGCAGAGCAGGTGTGCCTACTTCACAGCAGCTCTTGAGGCTTTACTTCTAGTTTTATATAATCTTTTTTATGTGGGTGCAGGCGCCAACTTAACCTGGCCTGAACACAAATGCATGTTTTAAATTTATACTGTTAATGTGAAATCCTCTAGGTGATCATGCTTTAATTCACAGCATGTAAATGTCCATTTTACTTTTGTATTGCAGCCTTTTGGCCAAACATTGCAATTGTCCTTCACAGAGAAGGTAACACCAGAATGCATTGCAAGAAGTTCAGTGAAAACAATCTCTACAAGATGGCAGACAAACCCAAATAGATTTTTTAGCCATTATAAATATACTTTTAATTAATTCAACACCAAAATGCACTGACAAACTAGAGTTTGCACCATATTTGTGTGTGCTATGTATTTTTATGTAAAGAGTTTTCTGTTTGGTTGACATCCCCAAGCCCCTTTTTTTAGTCACCTGTCATATAGAGATTACTTTAAGAATCCAATCAATTCCCAATGGATAAAATAAAATCCTGGCTTACTTTTGCCCTTGAATATCCTGTATCATTCAGAAATAAGTCACATTACAGAAATAAAATGAACTGTGGATGCTGTTTCCTGTTATGTAATAAAACAAAAATAATACCAGACCATCTTTATTCCCCAATGCCAGACAACCACCAGTATCGTAAATCCTCATCCCTCAATTCCACCCAATCGTGTCCTGCCACAAGCATCCCACTGTTAGCAACACATCCCACATTAAACGCAACCCCTGAGAGGAAAATTGTGCTTTACTCCCATCTGTGCTTTAATTCCACCTGCACCTATTCCCCAATAGCAAAATACCCCATAAAGCATCACACACGCTATGGCCACATGATTCAGTTAGAATGTGTGGCTGGGATTTTTGGTGGTGCCCGGTGGACACAAACATCGGATTAAGGAGGGGAAGGACAGAATGAGAGCGAGAGGGAGAGAGAGGCAGACAGTGGTGTTCCAGTTGTGTGAGAGTGCCAGTAGGTCGCATCTCTTAACAACAGATGGCCAGGAATACCCCTCCTCTGCTCAAACTATCCCATCCTGGCTCTGCTGCCCTACTAAAGCTATGAATGATAATACAATTACAGTAAATACCATTAATAGTCTATAGGAATTTCTGTTTTCTTGCTCAGGTGTTGGATGAATCTCATGAAACCTGTCAACATGCCTTGGTCAAATCAAAAAGAAGCCTATTTTAGGACCATTAAGTTTATTTTCTTTCAAATTACTGCAATGTCAAAGTCTCAATCTCATTACAGTTTAGTGAAGACATTTAATTCAGTTTTGTATCACAATAATGTGAATCTTAGGGGGGATAGTGCTTATGACAATAATAATGCAAAAAATGTCTGCTGAAGCGCTCCAAGACTTGAGAACACAAGACACTTGTAACATTGAACAAAACAAAATATTAGGAGAAGTTCTGACAGGAAAACCCATGTAAGGAATACTGTTAATAGGCTGTTGGAAAGGAATAAATCCAAATAGCATGGTTGAAAAAGTTGTTGCCCACAACCACTGATATTTTCTACTCTGCTTAAGGTCGGGAGCAAGAGAGACTTGCCGTAAGATTGGTTCTGTTCCAGATTTATTTATATATATATATA